ACTTAGTTAGTGACACACAACTAATGCTATCAAAATCTCATCGATGAAATAAACACGGACAAACGTAATATCAAAAAATACAAACAAACATAGTATATTTATTAGCACGTTTCATACTCTATAGGCAATTTACATCATCATCATCATCATGATTGTAGCTGTTGTCTCACGTATGTCGATTGTATCTATTTCGCATTAGTAAAAGTCACTTCAGGAGACCTGGCCTTGTATATTAGATGCAGCTAATCTGCCTCATGCTTTATATTCGTAATTGGGAAAAGCTGCCGCCTTTGCTTCTTCATGCCGGCTAGGTTAATAAGCTTCAGCTGAAAATTGTTGCTAAAAGATTTCAGCCCTATGCGTAATATCGCAGTCTACGTGCACAAACTGTGTTAACTAAATTCACTCATGAAACTGCATTTTGTTTCCGTCGTATCAACTGGCTGGTTAGCACCTGTCTTACCAACTAAACAACTCAGATAAAGATTTTTACCTTGAGAAAGGCGACAAATGGAACTGTGCCTTATTGTAATGTACAATAGTTAACGTTATAATCTACCTATAAAAAAAATAATGGATTAGGTTTACTAAACTAAATTCTATATTCGAGGACTATGCTGAAGTGGTAGTTTGAGCAGGGCAGCCTCTTTCTTGAATTCTTCAAGAGATCGATTCGTAGCTGAAAAGCAGTGAATACATTAAACAAGGCACCGATTTTTTTCAGACCTGCTATTAGACGCCAAAATACACAACCATAAATTTAATCGCACACAATTTTGCTTATAATCGTCTATATGTTTCGTACAGCTATTCCTGTATTTCAAAAAGTCAAGATGCAATAGAGGATTTATGACCCTAAGTTAATTAAGTGAGCCATCCTCAATATGTTACCTGGCACCATAAATCTCTCTGAGATTAAACGGCCGTATTTGTTCCACGCCCACATGATAAGAACGAGGTTGAACAGGATTATCAGAATGATCAGGTGGGCCACCCATACCTGACAATGTTGGAAACAACACAGAAAACCAACCGAAAAGAAAAAGCTATATTAGCGTTCTTCCGCTAGCGTAACAGATACTATTGGTTTATTTCTTAGGTTCAAAAAGCTTAAGTTTTTCATAAAAAAGGGTCCGTATATAAGTGTCTTTAATGTAAGATGTTACCGTTGATTAAAGCACCTGCGATTATTTTTGTATATACAAAATTTATGATCAACTTACCTGTAATTCACAAGGATGAAGTAGTCCATCAATTTGAGTTAGAATGAACTCTTCCCACCACAACAGGACAGACATCACGGCGGATGCGATTGCCATTGCATAGGCTGTGTGCTCCGCTTTGGTACAATGCTGCTAATTATAATTTCAAGATGGACTCGCTTCTATCGGTTCGACGTTTCAGATACGAACCGTTTTTAAAGGCCTCAGAATTCTCAGTATATTGGCTTGATTAGACGTAATCGACACGGAAACGACGTACTTCCTAATGTAAAAGATGCGAAATTTGGGTACCGTAAAGAAGACAGTCAAAGGGAAATGTAATGTCTATGAATAAAAAAGCGAAATTGAGTACTACTTATTTATTCACGATGTCGTTTTTGAGTGCCGGTATGCGAGGATGTGACGAAGACTTGAGTATTTCTATGAAAAATGTTTGGCAAGTATTAGTTAGCACGTAATTATGTTCAACAATGAACAAAAATTGATTCCAGCCTTTTCGCTTTGACGAAATGGAGGCGAAACTCTTCGCGTGTGAGAAAACTTCCAGGCAACGCACGTTGTCAAAATAAACTAGAGAACATAAGAAAAAGTCTATGAAAGGGAAACAAAAAAAGATCAAACAAACTGTTCTACAAGAAAAGACATTTAAAGTTGTAACACACGTTAACCACACTCACCTGTGAGTGTCGCCTATCTCATCATCGTGTTCCGAAGTGTGCCCTAATTAACCCATCCTTGCCGAGTCTATGGTCACAACCCGAAATGTGTGGCTTGTATTGATAACGCGGAATGACGTTGTTTACTATTCAAGTGTTATTTTCCTATCGAATGCAAGAATAGTTTTATTTTTTATACAAGTAAGTTATTAAGGATTAAGTTATTCAACCATATCCAGCAATTACTTAGTTACTTTCAGACTAACAGTTCTTTTCTTACATAATAAAACATCGCATCAAAACCTGCGAGACAATTCCACGTCTCTCGAATTCTAGTGGATGACAAAGATTCCGACCAATAACAGAGTTCGTAGTTTTCCTATCAATTAGTTCAGCCTTGCAATGCGGTTCTTGCTCAAATCATCGCCTTAAAGTATTTAAATTGGCTCATAAAGTATACCCATGTTTGAATATTTGCTCATAAAGTATGCCCATGTTTGAAATATATGTCCTTAAACAGCTTTCTTATCAGTGGTACGCTCAGATTTGTGTCCAAGCTGGCCTACCGTATATCTTCCTTTAGCCAACCAACGTTGAAAATTTCGATGGCAGCACAGAGTTTCAAGCAAACGCATAGTTTGGCATTTTTTTATCCACTATATAAGTCGTCAAACATGCTTGAAGCAAACTCTCCCTATTGATAGTTATCAAGAAACAAATCGGCAGACTGCACCGAACTCACCACGATAATTTGTTCTCATTACTGTCAAAAACCTATCTACCTGGCTGCTAAATTTTTTCAAGCAGACGTTGAAAATAAGCAATTTCCAATATTTATTTGACATGAAGCATATGTGGCTGGTACTCTAAGTCTAATCCACTACTGCTGGCACGAATTATAATACTGTCGAGGAGCACATCCTGTTTACATAGCTTGATTTTCAGGTGCTTGTGTCTGGGATACAATTGGGAGAGGGTTAACCATTTACTTCATCGCCATAACATCGCATAACATCATACACTGCCATTGATATTGTCCAGCGTTGCGTAGAGGTGCCCTGCGCATCTATTACGTCAGGCCGTAGCTGCTTATTCAACCGTCGTTTAACAGATTGTATCAAGTTTGTTGTCTCATTGATCAGTTTCAGCGAAACGAGTGAGAACAGTTTAAATTATTGCAAGCATGAATAAATTAGACGAGCTTGCGCTTCAACTTCGTTTCAGCTCGAAACAGCTGGAGCGAATGTCAAAACGGTGCGAAAAGGAGGAACGCGAAGAAAAGACAAAAATCAAGAAGGCCCTCGAAAAAGGTGTGTATACCGGTGGTGGATGACCCATCCATCTGCTGAAACTAATCCAAAACGTTATCATTGACTAGGCTGATAGGAATAATAATAATAATAACAATTATTATAAACAACTGACAAAAACTATTATATGAGAAAATTTTCGAAAGTCGGTCGGTTTCTACAATAGTGCATGTTATTTGAAGAAAGGTAGAAACACTTCCTTAACATAGGTGTTAGCTTTTAGCGGTAGATGTTGAGACTACTGCTAAATGTGCATGATATTGTATGTTCACACTTATAGAATGATGATGGCAACAAATAACAAATAGACTGAAAGTTTCAAACCTACATTTGTATTCGAGCTTTAGACAAACCCTGCTGCAAAATAAAATGATTGTCTTTTTTGCTGTATGATCTACGAACTTGATACATTTACGATCAGAAAATGCCACTTGCAAGTAGCACATGTTTATAAAGGCGTTTAAATGAGATTTCATTACAAATTGATGTCATAAGTTAGTTGAGTCATAAGACTGCCCGGACTGGATACCGAGATGAACTTCACAGTTTGTGTTATTTTCCTATGACGTATTTTTTTTCGGCTCAAACATCTTGAGTCGCCAGGGCAGCAAAGTGTATAAGTTATAATATAATTAGAAATTCAGATTGAATCATTGGTAAATTTGACCGTTAATAATTATTTTATAGGAAAGTTGTGGATGAAAATTGGACGACGGTAAACGTACCTTAACCGCACATGTGAAATGCCCTGCTTTTACGCCATTACGTTCACATAAGTGTAAAATGCTTCTCCCTGTTTTGCTGGGTAGGCTAGCTTTTATTTTTCTTAAGCACATTAGGCAAATTTTTCTTTCCATATTCGCCTGAGTCCCTTAATCAAAACCAGAACCCCAGCGCAAGAATTATAGCTAACGGGCTCTTCAATGCAGTTTCGAATGTTTTCCCTTTGTTGCGCTTGAGGCATTATTAATATCCCTCGGCACATTACCTAGTTTACTTTACGTAATTTCGCAAAGAACTTGTTCGTCTCGGTCTGCAGCTGAAGTCATTCTTACTAAGGTAACATACAGGAACCGCGCACTACCACTTTGTTTACGGCATACTTACCAATAAAGTTTGTCTGATCGTTAATTTAATGCCATTTAAATCTATTCTCGTGTGACATTCTGAAGCGAGTTCAATTAAGCTAGGGTAAGTTTACCATAGATAAGGTTTCATGCATCATATAATAGCGAAGACGTGTAAGCGCAGTCTGTACCGTTTGCTATGGTATGTCTAACCATACAATTTTTATTCCCACAAATCATGTAATAGGTATGTCTTTGGTGTGGCTTATGGCAGCATCGAAAAGCCCCAGTCTTTTCCTACCAGATGCTAATCCAAGCCACTGCATCGGAGGTGCGACTAAAAGAAGAGCTATATTTTAACGAATTTTCAAATATGGATCGATTTTTTGTTGTGCTTTTAAACAATGTTACTCTATGTCCATATATGTGTCCATTGCAGGTAATACGGAAAATGCAAAAATCTATGCAGAGAACTCGATTCGAAAGCGAAATGAGGCTACAAATTTTCTTCGGATGGCAGCTCGCATCGATGGAGTGGCGTCCCGGGTAAAAAGTGCGGCCGCGATGAATCACGTCTTAAAGAATATGGGCAGCGTGGTCAAAAATTTGGACAAGGCTATTAACGCCATGGACCTACAGAAGGTGGGAAAACACAAGTGAAAAATTAAGGTTAAAAAAATGTACAGAATCTATGCGAGGGTAGAAGGCATAATTTGCCTTTGATAAAACCGAATGATACACCAACATTTGAAATGACTACTAGATGTTATTCTGTCTTGAAGGTATCGAGTATTATGGAGAAGTTTGAGGAACAATTTGAAAGTTTGGATATTCGATCATCGGTGATGGAAGACACGATGGGCTCGACCACGGCAACTTCGACGCCCCAAGGACAGGTCGACGCGCTAATTCAACAGGTTCGCGAATTTTCGATCTGATTTTTAATTTTTGCTTTCTGCTGTCGAGATAGACCCACCGATCCCAATATTTATAGCTCGCGACCTTTCCGTTTTTTAGTTTCCGTCCACTGACATCTACATTCAAGTATTTTTAGCCCACCCTATATGGCATTCAAAAGTTGTTTTTTTACGACAGTAAGTTAACAATAAGACACGCAGTGTGTAAACAACAGTGTTGTTACAAACAAAGCGCCCTAGCTGAGCATAAATGTGCTACAGAGATAAATTTAGAACGTTTAGCAGATCGGTGCTTTGCTTTCTGATGCTTTTCTTTCACTTTGTATGGTCTTTTGACACGGCAGGTAGCCGACGAAAATGGGCTTGAACTCAAAGAGAAGCTTTCGACTCCAGCGGCCACTGTTCCCACGGACAATATTGTATCAGGCGTGAGGGCCACAACTCAGGAAGAGGACGACGCCCTGGCAAAACGACTCGCTGCCTTACGTAACTAATTTGGCCGACGAGATCTCGTTGATTGTTCCAGCGCTTCAACAGAAGTGTAGACCTATTTAAATATCAGTAAAGGAAAGTCCTCGCCATGTCGACCCCATACAACAAACCTGAGTTGTGAGCGTACTGCTATTATGAATTGCGGTACACCTCTGCAGAAGGCTATTTTATAAAAATATTAAACGTCTTCAGGGTGCCTCGAGATGGTACGCAGTTCGCTGCGGAAGAACATTACACTACTACCGATGATGCTTTAGTACAGTGTATTTATGTATAATTCGTCGACAGCCGGATGGGGTATAAACAAAATATTTTATGTGGATATATACTAACCTCAAAATGAATCGTGACCATTGAGAAAAAGCCTTTTGTATTTCTCCTTTATGTTTGGTTTAACACACGAAAGTTGTATTCCTTAATTCCGCTCTATTTTTTGCCGGTTATGGGATCAGCTGATACTATTAAACAAATTTCCATTTTTCTTTCCGCGCTACTTTTAAAGCTAACTTAAAAAATTCCAGTTATTTATTGGATCGCTAGACAAACTTGACTGGCGTACCGTATCAGCCAAAAATTGCGTAGTTTGCACAACGCCAAAAGATTCATTATCCAATAAGCTGCCGAAATGTGTATACGACGAATCGTTAAATATTTTCTGTTATATCTCAGGCATAACAACTCATCCTAAATTTTGCAACGGCGTACTCCCATTTTGCTGTCCGCGCACGTATTAACCATGTTTATATTGTCTGCTAGCAGGAAAAAAAATGTTTTGATTTCTTAGAAATCATGCCAATACTGCTTGGCTATATCTTCATAAAAACGTGACCATCATCACATTGGGTTTCTCATGCGTCGACAAAGCTATCATTGTGTCAATCAATAATCAATGAATATGTTACACGAGGACGGTCAAGGCTGATGGTCCTAGGATTACTTGCGTATGTTATTTTTGCTTCTTTACGAATTGGGTTAATTTGATTGCAGAATGTACAATGTATATATTTCTATATGATGTGATACCAGGTAAAGCGTTGTTGCACATGCACGTTAGTTTTTAGAAGGATGAGTGCATATAATGACATAGGTGGCCGTGAATTAGTCTAATAATCGAAACTGACTAGTAGCAAATTAATATAAAACGATGAAATAAGAAAAACGTATGTTTGCTGCAGTAATTATATAGGAATACCCAACTAGGATGACAATATACTTGAATGAATAGTCTAGTGGTTTAATGCAGAGCTCGATGCCTCATTTGTGCTGATCTTTTTATTTTTTAAAATATGCTTTTTCTAACGTACTC